GCAGGAGCTGCAGCGGGTGGAGCAATCCCTGCGCTGGTCGGGTCCAGCCGCGAAGAACAGAGCAGCTAATTCAAACTAGTTTTTAAGTCTAGATGCGCTAATTCTAATTAGCTTAGTTTGAATTAACTAATTCGAACTAAGTTAGTTCAAATTAGTGCTGTAGTGTAGACATACCCGGAGTGTATAGGGTGTGGGTTGGGGGGCTGAAGTGTGATTTCTCACCTTCACGCTGCCAGTGGCCTGTGTTTGCTATTCCCATGCTGGATTCTCCACAGTTAAACTTTATAATAAAATTAGCACAATTTTAAAATACTGTGCAGAGAATATTTAATTTTTTGGTGCCAAATTCCTTCAGGAATAGGAGATGCTAGGAAGTTTGGGGAGTGGTGGATGGGAGGGCACTGGGCATAGAGATTTGTGGTGATCTCTTGGGAATGGGGATTTCTGGGCATAAGGTGCTGGGTGATACTGGGCAGGGAGGCCATGTGGTAAGCACACTGGCAACTTAGGGCAGGAGCTGGTATTATTTTAATAATATTCCTGTTCTTTAGTTCAGACGTGTCCAGGAAATTTGAGTCATATTGCCATGTTTGTAATTCATACATTTTGAACTCTCTTCACATTTCTAGAACTATCTGTTTTGAAATACTCCCCTAGAAGTTAACCTTGAGTTCAAAGGTTGAAAGAGATTAAAAGAAAAAACAACCAAATAGATCCATGAAACTTCAAACAGGTTACACATCAGCTATAACTACTCTCCTTTTACAGGAGTGATTCACCATCTTCTTTATTCAAGTGGAAGGAAGGAGCCTGAGCGTGTGTCTCGGAGCAGCTGAAACTAAGCAGACAAGGTAAATATTCTTTATTGTGTAATAGATTACTAAAACATCTTCATGAGTAAATCTGTGAATGAAATAAATATCCTTCAGGGTTCTGCAGTGAAGTGTATGCAGTGTAAATATTTTCCTTCACAGTTCTATAGCAAGAAGCTGAGATGCATGGGAATCTGATCCTGAAATGCTTTGTGTGGTTATCTAATACAGAAATCACAAGAACATCGTGCGTTGTATTAATGTCGTCACTTGGTTTACGGTATCAGCACGGTGATGAAGCTTTTAATGGATCACTGGTAGTTCCTGCTGTGGCAGTAGAAGTGGATGAAAAAGTTAAGGTAGACACAGCTTTGTGCACAAGAGTAGCTGTGACATCTGGCTGTGACATCTGGCTGGTTGGATGCCATTCTACACAGCAGTGCTGGCATTTGAGCAGTGCAGAAAGGTTGTAACTCTTGTGCGCCTGTGTATGGGTGACTGCCCTAGACCAGCCGTTTTGCAGGGACCCTCAAGCTGGAAACTTCCCTGGAGCTTCCAGTGCAGCCTGAGGTGCAGAATGAAGTTAAAAGAATAATTTAAGTTGACAACACTATTGCAAATAGTAAAATAAAAGACAGTTGGCCAGGGGGCTGATTGCATTGGGAAAACAGGAGGGGGAATAATCTTTACAATAACAGCAGCCCTGCTGCGTGGCAGCACCTCAGTGTGTGTCATTTCAGAGGCCGACTGCAGACTCCTTTCCTGTAGCCCCCTCTACTTACCATTTCCTGCCTTTTAGAAACTCTGTCACACAGGGGAGCTTCTCTTTAAGTAGCTGCCTCTAGCCTCACACTCTCCCATTTGTAGCCTAAGTAGCTGATTTGAACCACCTGGTCCCACTCGGCTCCTGTAGGGCCAGTGTGGGGAGCTTGCCCCATCGCAGTGACAATAATGTTACTCTGCAGACAGCTAAGAGTGTTGCTGGAAGTAACTTGGAGGCAGAGCCAGCACCAGGCATGAGCAAAGCAAGCAATTGCTTAGGGCCATGAATAGCTTCCTGGCTCGGAGTCAGGGGCTGGCAGACAGGGTGGCAGCCAGACTCTTGGCGGGTGGCAACTGGACACGAAACTGTGGGAAGCCAGGAGACTGGAGGTCGCTTGGCTGGTAGATGGGAGCCAGTAGGGCAGGAGCTGGGCTCTCCTCAGGGATCCGGGAGCAGAGGGAGAGGGGAACTGAGGGGCTGGGCAGCAGCTGTTTTCCCAGGAGGGAGGCAGAAGCCTGGGCAATAGCCTGGCAGTGAGCTGGTAGCCATGGCAACAACCTGGCTCATTGTGGGGAGCCAGGTGGCAGCTAGAGCCCTACACTGGCCCAGGGTGACAGCCAAAGCCGTGAGATGGGCGCTGGATCTTCAGCAAGGAGCCTGGCAGCCTTTCTCCTCAACGTCACAGCCCCAGCACCAAGCCATGGCACAGGGCTACTTCCACACTGCATGGCAACAAGGTCCATTGACACAAGCCCTACAGCTCTCAGGGAGGTAAAGTTATGAGCTCCCTGCTTTACAGCTACGAACCCCACAAAACATAGTGGCCTAGAACAGTTCGTGCACTCACCGGCATTGCAGCTGCTGCTCTTCCAGCCTTGGAGCACCCCTATTGGCCAATGTCTCTCCCACAGTTACCTGCCTTCTGAAAGTGTCTCCCCACTCATCAAGCTCTGTGCCCCTCCTGGTCCATGGTGCCCATTCCCGTGCGGTACTGCCCCACAGCAGTAACCCCCCACTCTGCAGTTCTCCCCTCCAATCCCCTATAGTCACCTTGGCTCAGTTACCCACAGCCAGTCACCATCAATCCATGCCTAAGGGGCTCATTACAGTTTGAAATGGCCACTCATCGTTACCACAGGAGTGTGGAACTGCTGCCTTCTCCTGACCTGGTGCCTCCCTGCAGCCCTAGTAGCCACCAGGTCTTGACAGGAAGGCCTCACCCTGCATGGTTGTCTGGCCACAGCTTTACAGCCCTGCCTGTCCTTCCACAGCATTGCTCTGTCTCATGTACTTTCCCAGTCTATTAGGCAGCCATATAATTCCTGCTCCACAGCTTGAGCAAGAACATGTTCCTCCTTTCCCGGAGCCCTTCTTATAGGCCCTTCCTAGCCAGGCCCTCACTTATTTTGGGGCCCATCGCAGACTTCAACCAGGGATGTCTTAACTCCTTATGGACAAGGGGAGAACAACCACACCATCACATGGTCAAAATAAAATGATCAAAGAAATCTCTGAAGTGAAAATAAACTTCCTCTGACTTCCTCCTATTTTGTTGAACTTCTATTACTAGAAAAGAGTGAGAAACATATTAAACAGGGAATTAAGTGAGAGAGATTGAGAGAGACTGAGGCTATGTCTCCACTACAGCTGTTTTCCAAAAAAACTTCACTTAATGTACACACCGAAATCGCATTCTTTTGAAAAAAAAATCTACAGAATGGAGGGCTTTTTCTGAGAATGGTAAACCTCTTTCTATGAGGAAGAAACCTTTTTCCAAGCTCTTTTGAAAAAAGGCTTGTGCGGTTGGGAAGAGGGAGTTCTTTCAAAAGAAGTGGAAAGACATAAAAGCACAGCTGCCCTGCTGGATGCTCCATCCATAGTAATCAGATTTAAATGCGAGATAGTGTCTATTCAGGGCTCATCTAGGCTACACTAAAGTGTCGAAAGAGCAGGGCTTGACTAATAATACAATCTACTCTTCCGTGGCGAGTAGATTGTAACCTGAAAGAGCCGGATTTGGGAGATCTGTGCATGAGCAGATTGCCGTACAGTGCGGCTGGAGAGCGGGGCTCGCCGTAGTTCAGCGATCCCTGCGAAAGAGGATATGCAGAGCTTTCGAAAGTGAAAGTAGTTTGGATGTGGCTTTTTCGGCGAACCCCCCCCCTTTCCGAAAAGCTGTGTAAACCTCATTACACAGCACTTTTACTTGCAAGAGATATTTAATTCTCATGCCAGGCTCTAAAAATGGCATTTAAATACTATCGTTCAAATTGGTAATGGGATCTGGTTTTGTATATGGGATAACAATTTTTGTCCTGAAAGACAGAATACCAAAGTAAAAATGTTATAAAATTATGTTTTCTAATCTGCAGATTCTTAACATGAGTGAAACTGAACTAACAATAGAGCCATCAAATAAATATATGTTCAAACATAAAGGAGCTTATTTTGTACAAGACATTACCACAGCTGAATACATAGATTCACTGGAGGATTTTGAAATCAGAGACAGTGATGTATTTGTGGCTACTTTTCCAAAATCAGGTGAGCCTGATTGCTTGTTTCTCTATCGGAAACTCATTTCTGACTTTTGTCTGACTCCTTTATTGGACCCTGCTCCTTACTAATCACCATTATGACCTAAGTTTGGTGATAGTAGTTTAAAATCTTTTAACTGCCACCAATTTATTAATGATGTTATCTCAGTTCATCCCCATGTTTAAGCTGTGGCAGAAGTTTAACACTTCGGAGAAAATCTGCAAAGTGTATTAGAACTTGGCTAATATTGCCAAAAGCTATGTACAACGTTGAATTATAGTGAAGAATGTCTATTTGTTTTTGTAATAGACAACTATTTTTATTCATGTTTGTTTAAGCATTTGTCAGCAATATTTTGGGAACAAGAAGCTGATGGAAAGGGAACATGGTGTGACTGCTTATACTAATGTATTTGCCCATGAACACAAAGCCCCCGATTTCACTGAGACAGCCATCTTGACTTGAAATTAATTAAACGCAATCTCTCAACCATTCACATTTAATCCCTATCTTGTCATACAGTATTCAAGATGAACTACCAACTACGTGAACTCAGATTATTCAATTTTTGGTCTCCGATATGACAGTGATATATTTTCTTAAAACATGAATAATACCAATTCCAGCCTTTGCAGATTGAGATCTATTTACAGCTTTAGAGTTATAATGAAGCAGAAGCAATCTTCTGAGAGAAGGTCAGAAAGAATGATTTGGCACCTCATTGTATACAGAACATTGTAACACGGAACACCAGCACACAGGGTGCTATCAGATAGTGTTAGTAAATCCACTGTTTATTATGCAATAACTAGTTATGCTGTTATGCTTATAAGAAGCACACAGAATATTTTAAGGAGAAAAGGCAATACAGCATGTTTATTCAAAATACAACTTTAAAAATTAGTATACGCCTTCATTCATACACACAGAGAGAGAGAGAGCGAGAGAGGTCATACAGACGGTCTTCAGTTACCAGTCTGTTGCAGCTTGAGTCAATCTAATATATCATTTAGGCAACATAAAAGGGAGAAAAAAATCTCTAATAATTGTTTTTTCAATGGGGAACCTGAATACCCTAAGTAAAAGACATTTCAAGTTTTAGTTATTGACTATCAGGTAGATAGATCGATAGATTGATAACTCGTGTAGGATTTAGTGTTAAACACGAGCTATGAGGCTATTTGGATTTCCATCCCTGCTGCACTAATGTTCCTTTCATACAAACTATGTATTTCATGAATAATGTAGATTGAGACAACGTTTTGAGGAGATCGTGATCATGGCAGATTATTACATGACATTAAAACAAAATTAGCATGAAACCTCTTTTAAATCAGGCTATTTCCTTTCCCAGGAACTGTGTGGGTTCAGAATATTTTGAGCCTGATTTATCATGAAGGCCATCGGGATGGAACAGAAAATATAGATCTAATGGACAGAGTTCCATGGCTGGAGTATAACTTACGTAATGTTGATTATGTCAATCGTCCATCACCTCGGCTCTTTGCTACTCACCTGCTTCACAATTTAGTTCCAAGCGATCTCAGGAACAGGACAGGAAAAGTAGGTGATACTGTTTTCATGATTTAATTAACATTATGCAGGAAAACGTCTGACTTTAAATAGTAAATCAGCCTGAATTCTCAGAGCCAGACTGTCAGCACTCCCCACAACAACCACTACAGAAGCATATCTTCCCTGTATACGTATGGGGTTCGCATTCCTCCAAAGCCCCATT